CAGTAGGAAGCTGGACCTGAAGTGGAGCAGTTGTGGCTTGATCCAGACACTCTGATATGGGATGCGGCCATCTTCCACTGCTTTCCCAGGCACATTAGCAGGGAGCTACATTGAAAGTGGAGCAGCTGGATCTTGAACTGGCACTCATGGAATGTCTCCATTGTAAGCAGCAGCTTTACTCGCTAAGCCATAGTGCCAGGACCCCTGGATACATTTTCAAATGAAAATTCCAGATAATTTTAGAGGAACTCCCCTTAGATTGACAGCGGATTTCTCCACAGAAACCTTAAAGACCAGGAGAGAATGGAGAGATAAAGTTCAAGTTCTGAAAGAAAAATCTTCCAAACCAGAGTATCTTAACCAGTGCAGCTCTCTTTCATAAATGCAGGATAAATAAAGACTTTGGAAGACAAGCAGAAACTGAAGGAATTCATCACAACCTAAGGATGGCAGAGTCAAGTCATTACTTATCAGTAATAACCTTGAATGTAAATGGACTAAATTACCCAATTAAAAGATGTAGACTGAATGGATTAAAAAAAAACTGATATTATGCTGCCTACAAGAAATGTACTTCACCAGTGAAGACACAAACAGACTGAAAGTAAAAGGATAGAAAAAGGTACCCCATGCAAATGGAAACTGGATGGAGTAGGATTAGCTATACTTATATCAGACAAAATAGACTTTTAGACAAAAACTGTTAGACAAGGAAAGTCACTATATAATGAGCAAGGGGTCAGTTTGGTAAGAAGATATTACCATGATAAATAAAGATAAACTTAATACTCGAACACCTAGTTTTAGAAAACATTCTAGATCTAAAAGAAATGTTCGGATCCAGCACAATAATATTGATATACTTCAACACCCCACTTTTATCATGGATAGATCAGCCAGACAAAAAAATATCAACAAAGAAGCAACATAGTTGACCTACACTATAGACCAAGTGAACCTAATAGACATGTATAGAACATTCCATCCCATAGCTACAGAATACACATTCTTTCATCAGCACATGGAACATTTTCTAAGATAAGACTATAAAACAAGTCTCAACAAATTAAAAAAAAAAAAACTTAAAGATCACTTGATGTATCTTTTCTGACTACAAGGGAATAAAGTTGGAAATTAACAGCAAAATAAACATCAGAAGTTATAGAAACATGGAGATTGAAGCACATACCATTGAATGAACAAGGATTGATTGAAGAAATCAAAAGGAAAATTTAAATTAATGAAAGTGGAAACACAACACACCAAAACTTACAGGTACAGCAAAAGCATTACTAGAGGAAAGTTTATAGCAGCAGGTGGCTGCAATCAAAAACAATGGAAGAGGCTGGCACCGTGGCTCACTAGGCTAATCCTCCGCCTGCGGCACTGGCAGTCCGGGTTCTAGTCCCGGTTGGGGTACCGGTTCTGTCCCGGTTGCTCCTCTTCCAGTCCAGCTCTCTGCTGTGGCTCGGGAAGGCAGTGGAGGATGGCCCAAGTGCTGCTTGGGCCCTGCACCTGCATGGGAGACCAGGAAGAAGCACCTGGCTCCTGGCTTTGGATCAGCACAGCATGCCGGCTGTAGCGGCCATTTGCGGGGTGAACCAACAGAAGGAAGACTTTTCTCTCTGTCTCTCTTACTGTCTGTAACTCTGCCTGTCAATAAATAAATAAATAAATAAATAAAAAACAATGGAAGGGTATCAAGTAAATAACAGTGCATCTCAAGGATCTAGAAAAACAACAAACCCTAAAATTAGTAGAAGGAAAGAAATAATAAAAATAGAGAACAAATAAGCAACATAGAAATAAATACGAAATATTAAATGAAGATTTGGTCTTTTGAAAAGGTAAGCAAAATTGATAAATTGTTTATCAAACTAACCAAAAAGAAAAAAGAAGAGTCAAATTAACTAAATCAGATAAGGAGGTATTAAAACTGATAGTACAGAGATACAGAGAATTGTTAGGAACTATTATGAACAACTATATGTCAATAAATTGGAAAACCTAGGAGAAATGAATCAATTTCTGGAAACACATACCTTACCAAATTAAATCATGAAGACACTGAAAACCTGAACAGAACACTAACAAGTAATGAGATTGAATCAGTAATAGTCTCCCAGCAAAGAAAAGCCCAGGACCAAATGCCATCACTGTTGAATTCTGTCATTTTTTTAAGAACAACTAATACCAGTTCTTCTTACAGTATTGCAAACAATTGAAACATAGAGAATCCTTCCAAACTCATCCCAAGGGACCAGCATTATGTTAATCCCAAAACCAGACAAGGATACAACAGAAAATACTAGAGACCAATATTCCAGATAAACATAGATGCAGAAATTCTCAGTGAAATATTAGCAAATGACATTCAATTGCACATCAAAGGGATTATTCTTCCTGACCAAGTGGGATTTATCCCAGGGATGGCAGGGATGGTTCATGATGCAAGAAGAATGGAAGAAAAAAATCATATGATCATCTCAATAGATGCAGAGAAAGGATTTTAATAAAATACAGTATACATTCATGTTGAGAGCCTTGAACAAATTTGATGTAGAAAGAATATACCTCAACACAGTAAAGACTATATATGACATGCTGTCTTCACTGAACTTTACCTCGTAATAAGATAATATACCCCATTTTATAATCCTTGTCATAAATACCAGGTTATGTGATATTAATATATCCTCCCTTGCTTTAAAAAGGGTATGTGTATGCATATATAAATGTTTACATATGAATTGAATATGGCAAAATGTTAAAATTTGTTAAATCTGTGTGCTCATTCAACTCTTTTTTATGCTTTTCTGTGTTATTTGAAACACTTTAAAATAAAATGAAAAAATTTAAAAAATGCATAATATTTAAGGGTGTGATTGAAAGTTGGAGATTATGATTTGTAAATTAACAAGGCATATAATTTAACAGTGACTGAATTAATGCTGGTGGTTGATGGCCTAAAGGAGGGGGACATAGCATGTTAGAATAACAATGTCTCGTGTGGTGCTTAATGTTCTCAAAAGTGCTTTCATATATGGAAATACTCTTATGATAAAATTAGATTACATAATGCTGTTCATAATACCATTTGTTTTTTGATATAGAGTGTCATTATATAAGCATTTGTTAGTGCTGTTAGTTGTAGGTAGTGTTGCTTTAGTATCCAGCTTTATTTTTTTAAAGATTTATTTATTTGAAAGAATGACTGAGGTAGGGAGAGACAAAGAGACAGAGACAGAGAGACAGAGAGACAGGGAGAAAAGGGGAGGGAGAGAGGGAGAGAGGAAAAGAGAGAATCCCATCTTCTAGTTCACTTCCCAGATGGCCACAATTGCCAGGGCTGGACCTGAGTGAAACCAGGAGCCAGGAACCTCATCCAGGTTCCCACGTGAGTGGCAGGGACCCAAGTACTTGTGCCATCATCTGCTGCCCTCCCAGGTGCATTAGCAGGAAGCTGGATTGGAAGCAGACCAGCCAGGATTTGAACTGGCATTCTGATGTAGGATGCTGGTGTTACAGGCAGTGGCTAAACCTGCTGCACCACAACTCTGGCCCCACAGCTTTGTTCTTACCTATGAAAGTGTGAAGATTAAAAATGTATAAGTTGATAACTTTTGTATATTAAGAAGTCTTTATGACCTAAAGGAAATAATTATTAAGAGTTACATATATGGTCGGCTGGCGCCGTGGCTCACTAGGCTAATCCTCCGCCTTGCGGCGCCGGCACACCGGGTTCTAGTCCCGGTCGGGGCACCGGATTCTGTCCCAGTTGCCCCTCTTCCAGGCCAGCTCTCTGCTGTGGTCAGGGAGTGCAGTGGAGGATGGCCCAAGTACTTGGGCCCTGCACCTCATGGGAGACCAGGATAAGTACCTGGCTCCTGCCATCGGATCAGCGCTGTGCGCCGGCCGCAGAGCGCTGGCCGCGGCGGCCATTGGAGGGTGAACCAACGGCAAGGAAGAAGACCTTTCTCTCTGTCTCTCTCTCTCACTGTCCACTCTGCCTGTCAAAAAAAAAAAAAAAAAAAGTTACATATATGGTCAACTGAAGAATACTTATGAATGATGCAATATGAAGAGAAGAATTGAATTTAAGTTTTTTTTCTTATCCCTTGACTGTACTGCTGTGTACTTTCTAAGCTAGAATATTTGATAGAAAATTATATTTGATGCTCGAAACATACCCAAATTCATTTGAGTGGCTAGGAATTCTTGGAAGCATGTTTAAATATGTATGTATGTCTATGAATAAGATTATAATGGTGAGAAGAAGGTGGAAAATAAAATTTTGTTAAGGGCTTTAAGTGAGAATGATTACTCTAGATTAGTTATTGTGGAACATACCTTTCATATATACATGCTAATTTCACATTTGAACTTTCAATAAAATTGAGCTCTTATTTATGAATTTAGTTGGAAAAAGAGATTGAAAAATTTAACTGGAGGACTACCTGGAGTTAATTTTCTTTCAGTGGTAGCTAAGGTTTGAAAAATTCTGAAAACTGAAGAGGAAGTGAAACACAGCCATCTAGTGGAGACAAGCTTAAGAGCCATAAGCTTGTGCTCACATTTAAGTGAGTGCGCGTGAACATCTCTCAAGGGTTATTATAAAGCACTCTAGCAGAGCATCCCTTCTCACATAAAGGAGCAACATACATTTATGTTACGAATTCAAGTTTTAATGAGAGGGGAAAACTTTATGACAATTTAAATATAATATTATGTAAATACTCACTGAGGTCAATTGAACTAGTGTGCTTCACACATTTTTAATTTTAAATATGTTGCAATGATGTTTTTGTCAAACTCTAGGATTACTTTTTAAGTGCACGTTTGTTCTGAACATTGCTGAAAAGTATCCAGGTCTCTCTTACCTAAATTAACCTATTTTTATAGTTGAAGCTCAGGTTTAGTTCCTCACTGTCTTCTTTAGAGTAACTTTTAGGTGCTGATAACTTATAAACTTTATTGATACAAAAATGAATTACTTCCAGGAGCAAGATAGTGCTGTACAAAATATGCACAAGAAAGTAGAACAATTAGAAACTGAACATATGGACTGCTCTGAACTCTTACAGCGACAAACGAATGAACTTGAATTTAGCACTCAACGAGAGGAACGTCTTAGAAAAGAATTTGAGGTATGCTTTACACTTATTTTATAGCATGTATATTATTCATTCAGTGATTTAAGCTTAGAGAAAGTTTTTCTCTTCCAAAAATATAAAATATTTTTGAGAGGCATTTTGTTTATATTATATATTTGGCATTTTTGAGAACTTTTATTTATTTTTCTTTTTAAATATTTTTAAAATTTATTTATTTTTTTAAAGATTTATTTTATTCATTTGAAAGACAGAGAGACAGAGAGAGAGAGAGAGAGAGGGAGAGGTCTTCCATTCCACTGGTTCACTCCTCAAATGACTGCAACAGCCAAAGCTGAGCTGATCCGAAGCTAGGAACTTCTAGTCTCCCATGAGGATGCAGGGACCCGAGGACCTGGGCCATCTTCCATTGCTTTCCCAGGCCATAGCAGAGAGCTGGATCAGAAGCGGAGCAGCCAAGACTCGAACCGGCACCCATATGGGATGCTGGCACTGCAGGGTGGGGCTTTGCCCCCTGTGCCACAGCGCCAGCCCCTAAAATTTATTTTGAGAGGTAGAGTTACAGATAGAGAGAGGGAGAGACAGAGAGGTCTTCCATCCGCTGGTTCACTCCCCCAGTGGCTGCAGCGGCCAGAGCTGGGCTGATCTGAAGCCAGGAGCCAGGAGCTTATTCCACTTCTCCCATGCGAATGCAGGGGCCCAAGCACTTGGACCGTCTTCTGCTTTCCCAGGCCATAGCAGAGAGCTGTATTGGAAGAGGAGGAAAAATGGGACTCAGAGGCCGGCACTGTGGCTCACTTGGTTAATCCTCCACCTGCGGTGCTGGCATCCCATATGGGCACGGGGTTCCAGTCCCGGTTGCTCCTTTTCCAGTCCAGCTCTCTGCTGTGGCCCAGGAGAGCAGTGGAGGATGGCCCGAGTGCTTGGGCCCCTGCACCCACATGGGAGACCAGGAGGAAGCACCTGGCTCCTGGCTTCAGATCAGCACAGCACCGGCCATAGCGGCTATTTGGGGGGTGAACCAATGGAAGGAAGACCTTTCTTTCTCTCTCTCTCTCACTGTCTATAACTCTACCTGTCAAAAAAAAAAAAAAAAAAAAAGGGACTCAAACAGGTGTCCATATAGTGTGCTGGCACTACAGATGGAGGCTTTAGCCCACTATGCCACAGTGCCAGCCCTGAGAGCTTTTATATCTTAGTAAAGTATCTTATGTCTTGCCTCTAATTTTTTTTTTTTTTTTGACAGGCAGAGTGGACAGTGAGAGAGAGAGACAGAGAGAAAGGTCTTCCTTTGCCGTTGGTTCACCCTCCAATGGCCACCGCGGCCAGCGCTCTGCGGCCGGTGCACTGCGCTGATCCGATGGCAGGAGCCAGGTGCTTTTTCCTGGTCTCCCATGGGGTGCAGGGTCCAAGCACCTGGGCCATCCTCCACTGCACTCCCTGGCCACAGCAGAGAGCTGGCCTGGAAGAGGGGCAACAGGGACAGAATCCGGCGCCCCGACCGGGACTAGAACCCGGTGTGCCGGCGCCGCTAGGCAGAGGATTAGCCTACTGAGCCGCGGCGCCGGCCCTTGCCTCTAATTTTTAAAATCTATTCATTTTTTAAAAAGATTTACTTATTTATTTGAAAGTCAGAGTTTCACAGAGAGAAGGAGAGGCAGCGAGAGAAAGAGAGGTCTTTCATCCACTGGTTCACTCCCCAGTTGGTCTCAGTGGCTGAAGCTGCGCCAATCTGAAGCCAGGAGCCAGAAGCTTCCTCCAGGCCTTCCACGTGGGTACGGGCCCCAAGGATTTGGGCCATCTTCTGCTGTCCCAGGCCATAGCAGAGAGCTGGATCGAAGTGGGGCAGCTGGGAATTGATCTGTGGTTCACGTGGGATGCCGGCACTGCAGGTGGCAGCTTTTACCTGCTATGCCACAGCGCTGGCCCCATAAAATCCATCTACTATTAACAATTTTCATGGAATATTTGGAAAGTTTGCAAGTAATTACTTATAAGGTTGAGGAAGTAATGTAAAATATTTGGTATACATAGTTTCTAAATGACAAAAGTAATATTAAAATGTAATTTTATAATTTGAATAATGTATACTAGCTGGTTTTGTGGAATGCTTTTCAGGTGAGTTTTAAATGAGAAAAGAGCATCTGTTTACAAGTATAAAATATGATTTCTGTGATACAAAAATAAGATTGAAAGAAATTTAATGTGTGTTAATTTATCTTTTTAAAATTCCCTTCTGCTTTGTAAAAATTAAGTATTTTAACAGATAAAAATTTGGTCCTAAGTACACTTTTTAATACTTATTAGATAAATAAGAACTTATAAGCTTTGTTTAATGATAAATGTTAGAGGTTTACTTTGTTGAACTCACTGCTATCATTTAACATTGATCTAGAAACTTTAGCTGAAGAAATACATAAAGGCAAGAATAGCAGTAACAATTACAACTTTTAGAAGGGGATATGATTTGAGAGACAGAGAGGGAGAGAGAGTGTGAGTGAGTGAATTTCCATCTTTTGGTTCACTCCACAAATGGCTACAATGGCCGGGGCTGGGCTAGGCTCAAGCCAAGAGCCTGGAACTCCATCTGGGTCTCCCATGTGGGAGGCAGGGGCCCAGGTAGTTAGGCTATCTTCTGCTACTTTTCCAGGTTCGTTAGCAGGGAACTGGATCAGAAACGGAGCAGCTGGGGCTCAAACTGGCCCTCCAGTATGGGATACCTGCATTGCTGGCTGTGGTTTAACCCACTGAGCCATAATGCTACCCCCAGCTTTAAAATTGTGAACACTGGTAAAAAAAAAAAAAAAAACAACTTTTATTTTTTATTCACTTTCTGTAGTAGATGAAGTCACTGGGTGTCACCAATAGACTCCTTTGGCTGTTATCACAGCTGTCCGCAGATCTGACTGTGGCCAATCACGTATTAGTATTTTTATCACTCAGGTCACATGTAATAAGGAGGACAGGCAGAAAGTAATATGTAATGATTGTATTTATATTCTTACTAGTAAGAATCAGAGAAAATGATACTGGAGATTTTTTTCACCACAGTAGCAAAATAGGAATAAAACTACCAAATACGTTAAAGATTATGAAATTTAATATAGGGTTCTAAAAGAAAATGGTGAGTGTCGCGAGTGCCACTTGTCACACAGCTCGACAAGGCTAATGCAATGTGTTAGAGCATGTAATGGCATTTTCAATAAAATTTATTGTTCAATACCACTCTGTATATTCAGTACACACATCTAAAGGTAGAACAATCTCATGAAAATATCACTCAATATATATAATTAATCCACTGATCACAACACACATCTAAGAATAAGACAATTCATGAAATGTCCAGTGACGACAACACGTGCAAATGCTCCACACATATTATTATTGCTGGATACTCCAGCAGACTGTATAGTCACACATGACTAAGTTCACATCATAAATTCTGCATTCTTAAGGTTTGTATCGCAGTCACGAAAAGCGAAAGCTGAAGTCCAGAGTCTGTTATTCTCCATTACCACTAGAAGTAGGATTCCAGTCACTTACTTCTGTCGTGGAAGTCCTGGCACTCCGGACTACAGTGATGGAGATAGAAGAGTCGTAGGGTCATCCTCTAGGTCTAACGCTGAGATGTAAAAGTTCAGTCCGGCTTCGATGTGGGCTCCAGCAGTGGCTGGGACACCTAGGCGAGGTCGGTTCAGCAAAGAATCTAGCAGTCTCTGCAAGATGCAGAGGATCCACGCGGCCATCACTGGCAGTGAGCCATGGTTCCCAGAAGATGAGGAGCAGCTGTGAGGCTTGCCTTTTATTCACTTTCTGTAGTAGATGAAGTCACTGGGTGTCACCAATAGACTCCTTTGGCTGTTATCACAGCTGTCCGCAGATCTGACTGTGGCCAATCACGTATTAGTATTTTTATCACTCAGGTCGCATGTATCTAAGTAGTTGCAGATGCCTTCTGCGCATGTCATCACCTTCTACGAGCATATCCACATGGCAGCAGATGCTTTGTATGTAGATGGACTGCTACCATATAGATAAGCCTAGACAGCACCTCACCACAAGCCTATCTATACAGCAGCAGATTTATACAGAGATGTTTGCATATACAGATGCTTGCGCACAGAGATTGAAACATATATGGTCACATGCTTCACTCTCTGTGCTTAGCATAAGTTACTCCATTTTGGGTTTTGCTTCTTATTGGGTTAGAGGTGATCCATAACTCTTTTTGGATGCCTGTGGGATTCCCCTTAGTGAGGGAATTTGAGAACACACAACACTGTAGACATTTGCATCCTCCACAGACTGTATTTTGAGTTAAAGCAGTTCCAATTCAAACTTCAGTGGAAGTAGTTTGAGAAGTCTTAATCTAAAAATCATATGGAAGAGTGGTGTTTTTTTTTTTTTTTTTTTTTTTTTTTTTTAACAAGCAGAGTTAGACTGTGAGAGAGAGAGACAGAGAGAAAGGTCTTCCTTTTTCTGTTGGTTCACCCACCACGTGGTCGCTATGGCCAGCGCACTGCGCCAATCCAAAGCCAGGAGCCAGGTGCTTCCTCCTGGTCTCCCATGTGGGTGCGGGGCCCAAGGACCTGGACCATCCTCCACTGCCTTCCTGGGCCACAGCAGAGAGCTAGACTGGAAGAGGAGCAACCGGGACAGAATCTGGCGCCCCAACTGGGAATAGAACCCGGGTGCTGGTGCCGCAGGCAGAGGATTAGCCTAGTGAGCTGCGGCGCCGGCAGTGTGGGTGTTTTGGTGCAGCCAGTTAAGCTACCTGTTGTATCCCATACTAGAGTGCTGGTTTGATTCCTGGCTGCTCTGCTTCCCTTCCAGCTTCCTGTTAATTCACCTGGGAAGGTAGTAGATGGTAGGCCCAAGTGCTTGGGCCACAGTCGCACACTTAGGAGATCTGGATAGAATTCCAGACTCCTAGCTTCAACCTGTCCCAGCCCTTGCCGATGTGTTTGGGGAGTGAATTAGTGGATAGAACTTCTCTTTCTCTCTGCCTTTCAAATAGATGAAAATAAATAAAT